GCTGTAATAAATATGCTGTGGAACATCTTACAGTCAAGTGCGAAATGGCAACAGATCTGGGTCTGTGATTTTCTGTCAACTACCTGCAACCGCTATGTCTCATCCCTGCTTAGTTCAAGAGATATTGAATGACGTAAAGTGGTGGCCATATTACAACTTGACTGATGGAATTCGATTACAACTAAAAGGGGTTTGTCACTATTGAAACTTGTCCCTGCTCAGTGATCAGTCAGTCATAAATAGAAACGCATTGTCAAAAGTAGTAGATTTTATAAATAAATAAGCGATGAACCACGTTCGCTTAAATAATATACCCCTATTTTTAATGTTTCTTTTTTACTTTTTATCCCCATAATATTACATGTTAGAGAACCTACTGAATATCAGACAAATTTTATCTCCATGGTCTTCCAAAAAGAATAAAATCAGTTAAAACTGTGTCTTTATAGTGAATGTATGTTTAGAAATTAATTGTGGTGTCATCACAATTCAAGAATCTTGGTTAACTGATTTACAGGATGATTGCTTAGTGTCATTACGTGATTTTAATATCTATCGTCAGGATCGATCAAACAATAAAAAGACTTGTGGTGGCGGAGTAGCTACTTTTGTAAACGTGAACTGGTGTAGATCTACTTTTGCCTGTTTCAAGTTTTCAAACGACTTTATTGACTGTCTAACTTTAAGGTGCCGTCCAAAACACCTGAATAAATACAAATATATTTATGTTACTAATATCTACATGACTCCAGACTGCACATCATCTGCGCTATCTGTCTTCGCTGATAAATTTACTGAATTCGCCGTTACTGCCTTCAGTGATTCACTTTCAATTGTATGTGGTGATTTCAATTCATGTGACTGTAGCTTCCTTACATCACTAGGTCACCTAAATGTAGTAGATTTTCCTACTCGTTTGAATGCTCATCTAGACTTGGTTTTCATTAATGATGTGGGTACATATGTGACTCGCAAACGTGCTCCATTGTCTAGTTCGGATCACTGTATAATTCGTGTCTTACCTAAAATATATGGTAAACATGGAAAGAGTACACACATACACCATACCAAAAAAGTAATATATAGGAATTACTGAGAAGAAAATTTACAAAATCTGAAAAACATGTTTCGTACGACCAACTGGGAAGTACTTACAGATGACTCAATAGAAAACACAACGGATGTTATCACCTCTTATCTTAAATTCTGTTTTGATATTTGCTGTCCTACCGAAACCTTCTTTTTAAGTTTTGATCGACTTACATCTCCACAACTAAAACGACTACGGAGGGTAAAAGAAAGGATGTACAAGGAGAAAAACACTATTGAAGTTCGTAAGTTAAATGATCAAATAAACCAAGAGATTAGACGTCTCAACTGTGTGTTCACTCAAAAACTCCTATCTTGTAGAAGCTCTCCAAGTATGTGGAAACTCTTTAAAGAAATTACAGGGGACAGGCAGACTAGAAGCGATGACCAGCTAAATGTTTGTGACTTAAATAAGTCCTTTATTCATCAGTCATCTGACATCATGCTCCCTACATCCAAGGGTCTGAAGAATAATTGTGTTCTCAGTTTCACTGAAAATGATGTCCGGAAATGTCTCCAATCTCTGAATTCATCCCAATGTTTAGGTTCTGATGGTATCCCAAACCTCCTTTTTAAAAAATGTGCTGATGTTTTATGTTATCCATTAACAAATATCTTCAACAGATCCTTCTCAACTAATGTCTTACCGAAAATGTGGAGAAAGATAAAGGTAATCCCTATACCTAAGGAAACTCCTGGTGATAAAAATGCGAAACTTAGACCCATAGCAATAACCTCACCTTTCCTCAAAATAATGGAAAAATTACTGATACAACCACTTCAACCTGTAATAAAAGAGCACTGTGATCCATTTCAGTTTGCTTACAAATGCAAAAGAAGCACATTAGATGCCGTTGCTGTTCTGCATCACAATATAGTGTTCGGGTTGGAAAAGGGTAAGAAGTATGTTAGATGCGCTTTCCTGGACTTTACTTCTGCTTTTGATTCTATTCCAAGACACCTCTTACTTAACAAGCTGATCAGCGTCGATACTGACAGCTGGATAACCAATTGGCTATGTTCCTACCTTTCTGGAAGAGAACAGTACACTGTCTTTGAAGGAAAGTGTTCAACATCTCTACTGTCTACTGTAGGTGTGCCACAAGGAGCTGTTCTTTCACCTCTGTTCTTTACTTTCTTTCTTCATGATCTGCCATCTTCCACAGAAAACACTTTTGTAAAATATGCGGACGACCTCAGTGTATGTATGCCAATTTCTACCTCCTTACACCCTATAGAAATGAATGAGTTTTTATCTCGTATTGAAAGGTGGTCTGTTGGTAATGGTCTCTTACTCAATCCATCTAAATGTCAAGCTGTTAACTTTAGCTTGAGACATGGGCAGAACCTATACTCTATGTTGGGATCCCATAATGCTTGTGCCATTGGAGACTCCTTAATAAACACAGTGTCGAAGGTCAAATATCTTGGTGTTACTTTTTCCTCTGATCTTTCATGGTCTTCTCATGTTTTACTGTTATCGAAAAAAGTTTACCGTTTGACATACTACATAAAGAGGCTGCATGCTTTTGGGATTACTCGACATTTACTCTTACAATTTGTAAATTCCTGCATATTACCTATTATTTTATATTGTTCTCCATTATTCTTTCCTGGGCTTTTGAGAAAAGACCTTGATATTTTGCGTAGAGTGCTGAAGGCAGTTTGCAAGGTATTTGGTGAATCTTTTGAAGTCATTGTTAATATGCTTGTGGATAGACATCTTAAATCTTGCAAACTCCTGGCAGGTGTTATCTTATCAGATACTAACCATCCGCTTCATTCATATCTTTCTCCTTGTATATCTTCTGGTAGAACGAGACGTAAATACATTGAAATTCATGCACGCAAGCAAATCTATAAAAGTTCTGTAATACCTTACTTAGCTAATTTACTTTGTGACGAACAGGCTGTTAGAGTTGACCTAGTAAATAACCTGTCTTCTTAAGCATGTCTCATATTCGATAATTTGTATAAACTCAGATTTTCCTAAACCTTTTTTTAATTTTATTTCTGTTGTTTTTTGTTTTTTGTTGGTAAAAAACTTGTTCAAATAACTCGTGCTGAGAATTCTATATTGTACCAGATTATAATATTGAATAAAGCCATTAATAATAATAATAATAAATTAAAGAAATGGCATTGTTTACTCGATAAATTCAATTGAATGATATATATATATATATATATATATATATATATATATATATTACACACTGATCCTTGGTTGTTTATGAAAAGTTTACTATTTCTATAAAAATCTTTAGATAATTATAACGATATCTAATCAAAATTTCATCTGTGCTAACATTGAAGAGCCAAATTGTTTTTAAAAAAAATGCCTATCATCAAAAGTCATATCTTGATCGTTTCATTAACCAATAATTTGTCAGATAATTGATGTAATGTTTGATATATAATTTCTTGATTAGAAGGTGTTTTGTGGAGATTTCAGTATTTTTAATAGTTGAAATCATGAATCAATTGAAGTTAGACCATCATGAAAAACCTGGAATCACTGGACGACCGTTTCGTCCTATTATGGGACTCCTCAGCAGTGCGCATCCATTCGGCTCAGTGGTCTATCGGTTAAGTGCTCTGTTGCGAGACTGGTAGGTCCTGGGTTCGGATCTCGTGAGGTGGGATCGTGGATGCGCATTGCTGAGGAGTACCACAATAGGACGAAACGGCCGTCCAGTGCTTCCAGGTTTTCATTGGTAGTCTAGCTTCAATTGACTCATGATTTCAACTATGAAAATATAAATTCTTGACAAAATATACAAAGATCCTTTGATCTAATGTTTATAATAGTTTTAAACCCAATGTTTTAGATATTGTGTATCCGAATTAAAAGTCGTTTACATAATTTCAAATGTAACTTAAAGTTTTATTTTAACCTCAACCTAAATTTTGATGTCATGTGTAACATTTAGAAATTGTACAAGATTTAACTTGGCTATTCATTCTGTTTTAAAGTTCAGCGAAATTTTTGGTTAGGTTTAATGAGCCAAAAAACATTGAAAGTTTTAACACTTAGTGATTCAATTGTATTTTTATCTGTGTTTTTTTTGTCTTTACCCTGAAATTTAGGTAAATTCCTTTTTATCATCCAAAAACGTGTAACTGTGTATTTACCGAGCCGTATGAACTTCTATGTCATGGAAATAATTATCAACATTTTACCAGTAAATATCAGTCATTCATATTAAACTGGTCATTGTATATTTTTATATATAGTTGAAATCATGAGTCGATTGAAGCTAGACTACCATGAAAAACCTGGAATCACTGGACGGCCGTTTCGTCCTATTGTGGGACTCCTCACCAGTGCGTATCCACGATCCCGCCTCACGAGATTCGAACCCAGAACCTATCAGTCTCGCACCAGAGCACTTAACCGATAGACCAGTAAGCCAGCACGCGATGGTGTTTATGTCTAACTCCAACCAATCCACGAACTTGAGCAACCATTCACGAATTGTCTTCAATGAGTTACTATCTCACAACAGACCTGGTTGAACTCATTGAATAGTTATTTTCGAATCTTTATTGACTTACGAAAAATGTTGAACAAATATTGTCATTTCTTTGACTTCAAGGTTTCAGAATTTTTAGAGATTATATTAACCGTAGGCTAATGGATCAGTTTCTACTACCAATTGTTTTACAGCTATTTTAATACTGGAGATTTTTTTATTTAGTCAAGAATAGTTAATCTTTCAATATGCAATTATTGTTATCAATTGATCATTCATATACCCATGGTAATTCCCACTTATTTTTTTAATTTACACCTTTTTGTAAATTAATGACATTAGTTCCCATATGTTAAATTTGTATTAGTAAAAAATGAAAACTAAGCAATTGCATTGATAAATTATTCTCCCTTCTACATTTTTCTTCTTACCTAGACTTCACATCCCGAGCAGTAGCTTTGGCTCATACACCAGGTAGGTCGATTTGTGTCATTATCAAGTATATCTAGCATCTTCAATTTTTTCAAATATATTCAGACTTTGGTTTATTATACAAAAGACAATGAGCCATCTTCATTATTTCTTCTCGTGAACTGAAAGCTAAGTATACTACAGATTTTTAGTAACATTATCAGCTAACAAATATTATAGCTATTTATCAGGAAAATCAAATTGTTTCTGGTTCATTCGTTTAAGGAACTTCTAAAACGTCTGATATTATAGGTTAGCAAGCCCGTTTACAATTATAATATCCATAATTAAACCATATTATTCCTAGGCTATGAAATGAAGCAGTTTGCAAACCAAGTTTTTCTGAAACGGCTTTATCAGTAACCCTTTAGTTATTAACGTTACTAAAGGAAGCTTAACAAAGATCAAGAAGAAACATGATTTGCTGGTTAACATCGGTTTCATACAACAGTCGAATAAAATGCTTAAAAACTAAATTAAAAATAAGTTATGGTTAATAGTTTAATCTTGTAGTTTGATTTGTATTGCTTTGGCTTAGTTGCTTTGACTTCTACCCAGTTTTTATTCAACTTCATTTAGAATATAGCAACTCACGTACAATTGAGTTTGTTCACATCTAATTTGGATGAACCCTTTTGTTAACTTATTTAACGGATAGAATTATTCGTATAATAACCAACCTATCTATACTATTGTACCTTTATTATATACGCTTGAGTATTGTTTACTGCCTACACATATATTTATTTTGCTAGCCTTACTATTAATCGCTTAATTGATTCGACGATTCATTCATTTCACTATGTATATATATGTACATCTCAATCCTGTTCACTGACTCTCTGACTCGTCAACTCGTACAATCGTTCATTGACTCGACCACTCGCTCGCTCATTTGACTCGCACGCTCACACACTTGCTTCACGGCAGTACTCTTTCATGCTTGCTTAAAGTGTCTGTAATTTTGGATATCTGTGTGTGGTTCAATAATAAACGCAATCAACACTTCGAATTCGTCTTCTGATTTGTACATCATTGGGGCATTATCTGGTAACGGTTATCAGGACGAACAATATACGAAGTTTAAAAATAATATCAAATATCGACCACCACAAGTATTTCTTCATACAGAAATCAAGTAACTAATTTGAGTTATTTCTTTTCCTTAGTTAGGACGTTCTCTTAAATAGCTAAGTTACTTCACTAATGAATGAAGTAAATTATTACTCTTTTTTTTATCGGAAATGAAGTTATTTGTTAAGTTTTGATCACTTTTATTATTATTTACTTTCCTTTAGGTGATATAAACTGTCCACCATGTAGTACAAATAAAGAAAGAATTAAACTGAAAAAATTCTGTCGTAAAGATGCAGGTAAAGAATAATTTTTATGATTCTTCTTGTATAAAATAAATAGATATTCATGTAAACGAAAATTAAAGTCTATTTACTTTTAGACAATAATTATTTTCAATATTTTAATCATAATATTCAGATCTTAGTTAATGAATAATATATTAAATAATTGTATATAGTTGAAATCATGAGTCGATGGAAGCTAAACTACCATGGAAAACCTGGAAACACTAGATGACCGTTTCGTCCTGTTGTGGGACTCCTCAGCAATGCACATCCACGATCCCACCTCACGAGATTCGAACCCAGGACCTACCAGTCTCGCACCAGAGCACTTAACCGATAGACCACTTAGCCGGCTGGCATCCAATGGTGTTAATGTCTAACTTCAACCAATCCAGTGCTTCCAGGTTTTCTATGGTGGTCTAGCTTCAATTGACTAATGGTTTCAACTATATGAAATTACTAAAATCTCTACAAAACCCCCTTCTGACAATATTTTAAATACTCAATTGTTGATAATCTGAATAGATACATAAATATAATTCATAAATGCTTTTTTACATGGTAGATAGATGTAAATGTACTCCATAAAAAAGTAACCTAGATTATATCTCGGAATGAGAAATAATGAAGCCTTTAATTAGTTGTTAGATGGAATATATAATTGTTTGTACAACTGAGCAGTGCGTTTTTATCTAGATTGATAAGTCTTCTAATTGAAGGCTGAATTCGGTTCACATGCTTTCCTGGTAACCGTCAAACTAAATCTACACAGCGACTTGAACATGAGAGAAAAGGCGCGAAACATGGAAGAAACGCTTTACTCCAAAGGTTCGTTTATATACAGAAGAACTAGGGTATTTATAGTATTTTAGATGGCCCTGTGCTTCCGCAAATTTATGGAAGGCTACTAAACATAGTAGCAATATAGTTAATCATTCGATCAGAAACACGACCTGTGACTTTTCACTTTCTAGATAATTCTGGCAAAGTTTCTTTTGAACTCTGCTTGGATAAGATGTTTCTTGGCGTTTTCAGAGCCCTTTTTGCAGTTTTCTGGATCTCCTCAACAAAAATTAAAAAGATCAGCTTTCAAAAATAACTCATTTATACTAATCATTCTTATAATGTTTGAAAGCTCTTAAAAAGTATATTCATTTATCTCATTTAAATTCCTAATAGGTTAGTATTTATATAACTACTCTTAAATTATGTCAATAATTTTCAGTTAAAGTACAGATTTTCAGCAAAATTGGGGCGCTTCATTTTATTTTAATAATTTATTGTATATTAGATGTGAAACTTAAATTTTATTTGTTGGTATTAACCTATTGAACGAAACATGAAATTTTTTCAGAAGAGGTCTAGCGTCAATTCACTCATAAATTCAACTATTAAAATTATTAAAATCTCCACAAAACCATTTACTGATAACAACCATCAATTGTTTACTAGTAACTGGCTTCAAGAGGTATTTTCTGGAGTTCTAGTGAGGAGCAGTGACCAGTGGAGTTCAACTAGGTCCGTTGTGAGATATTAGCTCACTGAAGACAATGGTAAATGGTGGCTCAATATCGTGTATCAGTTGAAGTTGGACACTAACACCGTTAGATGCTGGCTCAGTGGTCTAGAGGTTAAGTGTTTGCATGCAAGAGCGGTAGATTCTAGGTTCTTATCATGCAGGCTGGATAGTGAATGTGTACCACTGAGGAGTAACATACTAGGACGAAATGACCTTCCAGTACTTCCAGATTTTCAGTGGTAGTCTAGCTTCAACTGCTTCATGAATTCAACTAATATAATCTCCTTTTAAACAATAATTAAAAAAATTTATTCGCCTATTACTAATTATAATTCACACTACATTTGTATAAAAAGTATGAATAACAACAAAATTTTCAAGATTTCTTGAGTTTTTGGAGCAAAAAAAAACAATAACCTTTATTGCACATATTGAACAAAACTGTACATATACAATAATATCCATTTAGGTATTGGTTTTTATAAATAGTAGTTTATTTGGTTTAGTTCATTCTAGTGGAAAATAAGTATAAAAGCGACATAAATTAGTGAGAAGTGGTATATACATATATCAGGGAAATAAACCAGTTGTTGAAAATTTGTCATCTAATGAAGAAAGAAGTTGTTCAACATTCTTGCTGTCGTTTTATTGTATATCTAACTCAGTGCATATAGACAAGTACAATAAAAACAATATATATATACCCATTATTTAATGGGTAAATTCTTTATATTAACAGAATTAACTTATTTGTTAGTGTCTGTACTCTGTCAAAATGTTTAAGTAAAATAATTATTATACATTTTCATGATTCATGTTTTTTTTCCCTTAATAGGGGGGGGAATGCTTAAAATTATCTGACACCAAAAATATACCATTCCAAAATAACTAAAATATGACCACCAGTTTGTTATTATTATTATTATTATTATTATTATTATTATTATTTAATAATAATATAAATAAGAAATAATATTTTGTTCCATATAAGCATTTTATGTATGGCGTTCTTCTTAATATTACCTTTCTCTATAGAAACCAAAAAGAAACAGTTTGTCTACTATATATATTTCTATGGTAAATATCAATGATAATTTATATCTCTATGCAGAAATTGAACTGAATTTACATGTTTTAAAACCAAAAAAATCTCCTTTTTTTAAAGTCTCTATTTTGCATGGTATGTGTATTTGACTGTAGAAATTTGTAAAATAAGAAAAAAATTTATCATATTTTAAATGTTTTGAAAAAAAAACATCAGAAGGATATCCTTGGTAGGTGTGAATTAATCTATTCTATCAGTAAATATAAACAAGGTTTTATTTCTATGGATTGACGTTTGATAGAAATTAATTCATTTTCAATATCTTTTTAATGAAAACAAAAAAAAGATAACATTCACTTAGTATTGTTTTTTGGAATCTTCCCATTGATGTTTAAAACAGCAACTGGTCAGTCTCTAATAGGCATCTTGCATACTGTGCGTATTGCCTAAATATTGCCATAATTTACAAGCACTATAAGCAAAGATGGATAATGGCTACAGTGGAATCCACGACGCACAATCGTCCTATCTGGGACGCGCGTTTCGTTCCATTTGGGACTCGTCAGCTGGACGTACCTGCATCTCAGAGTTGATGTTCACTCTGAAACTCGAACCCAGTGCCTTTCGCTTCAAACGCCATCGCGTTGTCCACTCAGCTACTGAGTCCTGATAGCCACTTGCTTGTGCAATGGGGTGAAGTTTAAATTGATTTCCCAAAGTGTTTATCAACTCTGAGATGCAGGAATATCCAGCTGACGAGTCCCAGATTGGACGAAACGCGCGTCTAGGATTCCACTGCTATCCACTATCCATCTTTGCTTACAAAAAGGTAACATGTTAATTTTCAGTTTATTATTGATTATTGTCTCGTGCGCGAGACTGATAGGTTATGGGTTCGAATCTCGTGAGGTGGGATCGTGGATGCGCTCTGATGAGGAGTACCACAATAGGACGAAACGGTCGTCCAGTGCTTCCAGGTTTTCATTGGTAGTCTAGCTTCAATCGAATCACGATTTCAACTATATAAAATAAGTTAATGGTTGATATTATACTATTGATCTCAGTATTCATTGAAAATTGAATGTATTTATTCAGATTTATTGATTTAATGTGAAAGGGAAAAGTGTTCATAGACCAATTGCTGTAGAAAATTACAACATTCAAGAATTGTTTTCATGGTTGAAATGGTTTCGAAGCTAAGTGATCACTTTTAATACGGTGGTTACCGATAAGTTACCAACAAGTTCAATGGTTTAGAATGAATGAACTATAACTTTTTACAAATATTCTTAAGTAGTTAACCTGAACTCAATTGAAATACCTTCAAATTCTACGACAATTATAAAAATAACAACTAAGTGTTGTATCTGCACATGTGATCAGTTAGTGCCTTCCTTAACTGTTCATCTAACTAAGTTTTCATATCGACGTTCATACCAATAATCCTATTCCTAACAATGTATGTAACGCTAAGTTTTTTAAAGTTAATAAATCAGACTTTGATTATGTTACTTATGTGATCCAATGTTTCAATTCTCACACATAATTGTGCATCATACTGACAAGAAAGTAAGAATATTTACAATTCACTTGACATCATACAATGCTATGATAAAAGGAACGATTAGTAAATTTCACAAATGATTCGCAAAAATTTGACTCAGGTGTTTGAATATATACTTTCTTATAATATTGAACATGAAATTACTGTCGTTAATAGACTAAACGTTTCACTCTGATATTATGTTCATGATTTAGTTTCTTGAAAAAGCAGAGAAATAATTAAAATTAAAAATGGAGGATAAAATCCAGTTAGTAAAACTACATTTCTGCCACTCATTATTAGTTAAATTATACCACCTTATTCGAGTTAGTAAGTGATGGTAGTTGATAGTTATATGCCTACATTTTTATGTTATTATATGTAATTTTATATAGTCGATACAATGATTTATTGTCAACCTATAATACTTTACAAATAAACTTATTTCCGTTCCTTATCCACCTTAACTACAGTTTTTGAGGCTTCATTCAAATCACGTGAACTTCATGGAAATATGGCTCGTTTCGAAATGCATGTCACACAAATTTGGAGAATTAATAAAGAATTTTTTAGAGGAAGTTCAAGTATTTACTGGCCTGCTTCTAAATCTTTTATCGACTTTGAACAATATAATCAAGGTGAACATGAAGAAGAGATTAAGAGAAAATCAAATGAATTAGTTCCTGTATGGGTTCGTCTAAATGAATTAAAGTGCAAATGTCCATATATTGAATTGGGTGTTTCATACCTAATAGTAACAGACTTTGAGAGTTTCACAAATAAAATAAGAAACGAACTATTATTTTCTACAAAAACTGCAATTTTACCTTGGCGTTCAAGTTGGAAACGTAGACTTATTCGATTTCGTAGAAGAGAAAATCGTGGAGCATGTGAAAAGTTTCGTGAACCTACTAAACTTCTTAGTGTATTTCGTCCTAAACAAACACTTGAAATACCTACAATTCATCGTGAATGGCATTCAACAATCAATGCTCGAATTCCTTCATCTATTCATCAAAGGCCATCATATTCTTTATCATTACGACCTTATTCTAAATATAGACGTGATTATAAAGTATCATAAGACAGTTAACATTTTAATTACTCATCTCAATTACAAATTTTGTATAAAACATGTTCTTTTATTTCTGTGTAAATTTTAAGGATTATTAACAATATTTATTACATTAATTTTTGTGTATAACAAAATATTATATTTATTTTACCTTCATTCTATTGCATGAATATAGATAAGTATACAAATGAACTCTTTAAATGTGTTTAATCCTAATGTAAATCAAAATTTTAAGCTCAATTAATATGAAAGTTATATGATGATGATGATGATGATGATGATGATGATGATGATGATGATTCGCCTTAATTATGACATCAGAAAATCCTCGAAGAAAGCACATCATTTTCACAATAATTTTCATAAATGACAACAATTAATTAAGATTAATTCATAATGTATAAAATATGAATTCGTTTTTAAAGTTAACTATATTCTTTAAACAAATCTAATATATAATTTGAATAATTCATCAAAAAGATGGATTCTTTAAAAAAAATATATTTATATAATGAATAAATAAGTAATTTAGGAGATAAAAAAAGAAAAAAATTCGTAAAAACGTTCTCATAAATCAAGTAAAATAGAGAGAAAGAAATTATTGATTAAATTTCATTCAATCTTATATGATCAACCTTTTTTTTTCTTTTTAATTTTCATTATATGGATATAAAACTACATTACGTTTTAACAAAGAGTATTGGATATTTATAAAGTTAACTGTGAGGAACATTTTTTTCGAAAAAAAAGCAAACAGAAAAAGGAAATAATACTATATTACTTTTTCCTGAAATGTTGATAGAGTAGGACAGTATAGAAAGTAATATAATTGTATCTTAAGTTTATTATCATAAAAAATCGTTTTATTTATTTATCTCATAATGTTTCATTATCACTATTTTGTTAAATTGTACTCATCGTCGTTTGACTAATTTTACATAAAATAAACAATATCATTACATTTTAAATGTTCTCTTAACAATAATAATAGTAATATATACATGTATATGTATATTGTTGGTGCAGTAAACAACATGATAGACACTTATTTGAGATGCTTTTTATTTAGATCTTAAATACATTTTACAATATTTACGAATAAGTAACTTGCTGTCATCATATAATCTGTTTAACTCTTACTTGTAAACTATAAATTGATTATAAATATATTTTATTGTTCCTTTTTTTGTTGTTTTTGTCGATCATTCGAGAATGTTTTATTTAATTAAAATTATATTATCAGCCTTATGATAATTTGAATTTAAAATGAAAACATATACATTTATGTTTGTTTATCTTTATGTAGATGAAAAATGACTTTTTTTCCTAGAAAAAAAGATGAACAAAACATCTCTAGATCAAAAACATACTGATCTTTTATCGATTTTATTGTTAAATTTTGCATTATTGATAATCATGTTATATTGTTTGTTAATAACTAAGTGTTTCTTTGTAGGATCAATTTGACATAACAAAGTAAATTGAAAATAATCTAATCTATCTTGATATATCATTGATATGAACAATTCTTGAATCCTACGGAATATGGGAAATTTCTTTCTGAAGGCTGTATAACTGAAAAATCAATTTATAGGTTTAACTAAATTCTAGAGGCCGAATTTCTGAAAATTTGTTATCTTTTAAAATTGCTGTAGTTGAACATTCAGTAAATATGGCACGGAAAACCTTTAAGTTAACTTTGGTTGTAGATCAATAAAATGTTCATGGATTAGTATATACAATTTGATTGATATTTTAGCCTTTAAAGAGGATAAAGTATTAGTTGTAGTCCTATAAAAGAAACTTTAGTGCTAGTGTAACTACCATTATAAAGTTTATCTTCAGATAATAATTATTACTATGTAATGGATTTGTAGAGTTCCCCTGTCTTTAGTTGAATATAATTCCTCATTTAATTTTTCACATTATACTTTGGGCTAATCTCATTGTGAAACTGTGGTATAAGAAGTTAAGTACTAAATATGCTGCAAGAATATACTTCATGCTTACAGTGTAGCAGCCTTCGCAATCTAAGTAGACGTAAATTAACGTGTATACAATCTAGTTATCTTTTTTCACAAAATGGTTTTTAATCACTTTACAACGTAATATTATGTGCAACATTTGTTCAGACTGAATGATTCTTTTGACTCGGTCATTTATTGAGCTGAATTAGAAACCTATTGAATCCTACTTTTGTTATTGGCTGTTTAAAACCTTGTTCGCTAAAAAAGGCGTGAAGTAACAAAGAGAAACGACTTTCCTAGTAAAAGTTAGGTTATTTTGTTTCCTATACGAAATAAATTTTCTGAACGACTTCATTTTGATAAAAGCAATCTTGATCTTTGAGTTTATAATAAGTTAGGTTTCTAGTTTTCGATCTTTTAAAAACACACTCCTGAGAATTTCATGGGATGGAATGGATAGGCAATGTAATGTAACTCATTTCTTAAGCTAATTCATTGCATACAATTTGGGGTACTACATAATTCTCCTAAAACTTACACTCAATCAGTCACAGAAAATGTTCCTCTTAGTCTTCATATTTTGTTTTTCGAGCACACGCGTCAGTATGAATTCGGAACACCGAAACTCCTATTCACAGTAGCTGATTATAAATAACACTAACACGTTTTATATTAATCCTTATACCTTAGTCGTTGTATGATTGTTAGTTTTAGTTATTGTCCAAACATTTCCCCTCAACTTCTGGAGGCAGTATCTAAACATCAGTTGCTATTTTCGTCACTATTTCCGCCTCATAGAATGTTGCAGTCAGCTTATTCGTTAACCAATATAAACAAACCTAAAATATGTATTATAAAGGCATACAAATGATACTTGAACAGTAATAACAATAAGTGTTTAACTTTTATGTGTCACCATACTCGTCGCGTGTATATGGTTGTAAAGACTTCTAAAGAGTTACTCATAAGCAACCACCTACTACAAACAAAAAGTTATTTAATCAACAAACAAAAGTTTTCATATGGCTCACGTTACATTTTCGTCATAAACTCCCCTCTCTAAGAGGGTCTTTATATTCTATAAAATAAGCAGATGTTATCAGTAAGTATATGTGATCAAAACAATTATATCAGTCACTGTGATACCTACAGCTTAATAGAGTTAGTTCAAACTCATTAGAGCACAGCGGTGTGTTCGTTATCTTTCACTAGGTGACTTCGACTGATTCAATAAAACTTCTAAGCCCGTTTTCTAAACTCATGTGAATAACTATGGATGAACCTCAAAGTATAGGTCTTTTTGTTAATTACATATATTCTACTTAGGCTAACCATGTTTGAGTGACATTGAAATAAAAAACCCATTATGAATTAAGTATGGTAAATTTATTTCAGGCACGCATTTACTCAGACAAACGTTACGATGAGATATATAGAGGGCTGAAGAGCTAACTCAACTCAATGAAGACGTGACTAAACATTTATTGGCATGAAAGACAAAAGTAAGCATGTAGACTCATTGTACGATCAAACAAACATGCTCAAGTTCACACATATGAATTACAAAATAACCGAGAAGATTGCAGTAGTTCAACTGTTCGAAGTCTGTGGTGAATCGTCCAGGCATATAGTAATAAGAATAGCTATTCACCCGAATACAATTATCACTGAATGTATTTTTAAGTAATCGAACTAAATAACATGTTTAGTACTGTTAAATAGAACCAGTAAAACCAATAATCAAGCATGTGTAGAACAACTTAAGGATGATATGCAAATAATGTAGTCAACATATGGTTTCCATATTTTACAGAGATTCATGATATAACAAATTGGCTTCTTTCCTCGTTCCTGATTTGGCCAATACGTTGAAAAAAGCCGTAAGGAACCAAGTAACATATGTAGATTTAATTTTGTTTCCTTTTTCGTGTGATTATTTGTTAGTAGTGAGCTTTAGTGGAAAAACCTTGAATTATTCAACTCGCCATGATCTACTGTTGTGCATACGACTGTCGATCCATTTTACAGGTTTGTTATATACTTGTCTTGCTTGAGAAGTTAATTTGATCTGCGTAATTTTCTAAAATTGATCTTTAGCTGCAGTTCCTCATTTTCTGTTGTATCTTTGTCCTCAGACACCGAGAGGCTTTGATATTAATTTACTGTAATTAATGCATTTCAGAAAGTGTGGTAAAGAACAGCGTCATGGTAGATCTTCAGTCGTGATCAATAAATTCTCGTTTGATTTCGACATTTACCTAGCCTTGGCACTATTGGCATCAAATAAACCCCCAAAGTAAATATTTCCGTAGATCTACGACACCTATACTGAAATCACCGTTTTTATTATTCAAACTCGAGTTGAAGACTCTCGATCGAGCATCCGTGCATTGTTTGAAACGACCAGGGCTGAATATTAGTTCGACAACTGTACCTAAAGTATTAAAGAAAACGTAGTACATTAAGGGTTTTCACTTTGAGCTCTTGCTACCGATGTTGGTCTTAAAGGCTGTCAGTGTTGAGGTATTAACAAGAATGTCCTTTTCTGTTTGCTGGAGATTCGCTCGATTGCGTAAAGTGATGAATCGTGCAAATGATTGTACTGACAGACAACAAATGGCACTAGACAAGTTGAACAGCATATATATGTTCCGAAATGACGTACTAGAGAACAGAAACTTGACCAAGTACCATGTATTATTGAGTTAGTGCTGGATACGTATAGCGTTGAAGAATGATCCGCTATGGATGTAAAGATACTTTTAGCCAAAAAGGGTCGCTAACTTGACGGATGAACTACGATTTCGGGAAACCTATGGACCGAACTGTGGTGTTTGAATGAACCAATGATTCCCTTGTATTGATGACTGATTTGACTTTGAATTCCAAATACAATGCATTCGTTCGTGCTCATCTAATACTTCTTGATTAAATTGCATTGTTGCTGGGATCACTAGCTTATACCATAATTCAAATTCTTAAAAATCACACGAACGCACCATAAATTTCTTGTATTCATATTCTCTATCTGACCATGGAACCAGTTTATTGGAAATAAAACATGGGGTCGTCAAGTAAAAAGAAAATGTAATGGACAGTTTACGATGGATAGCACAAGATGTGTTGAAGAAGCTGAGAGATGAATTCAGTATTGATAGTTGATTGAGTCATACCATAGGTGAACACTTCACAGGCACTTGTGCGTTTGCGTTACTTTGTAGTTATGCTTCCGAGTGATTGATACCTTATCACATATCACACAGGAGCTTCAAATCTTGCTACAGTTATCAAATGACCATCATAGCAAATTACATTTAGTCATTTTTTATCGATCGAGCTAGTCGGTTGAGTTCGAAAACTAACGAACACTGAGAAGAAAGAGGGAATATCTGTTGTTATCGAGAAACCAATGTAACACTGATAAAACTAGTAAAATATGTGTCGAATTCAAGATCAAATATGAAGATAATAATGGGCTGGGTTGTTTGGAGACTTGCTACCAATGTCGACCACAATGTAGGGGATCCGTGTGAATGTTTGAGATCCTATTAGAGTTACACAGATACGGTATTAACTCCTAGCTCAAGTCAAAGTCACGCCTGGGATATAACGCTATTGATGACAAGGGAACTGACTAGAAAAAATGATTCCAATAAATAACAGAATACCTTAATATTGACAGTTAGCAGATGCACAGAGCAGAACCATTGCAGTATTCACCCATCCACAGCAAACCACTGATCGATACACGTTGTTTTTCCTTGGAGAGAACAGGAAAAGCACTTCGACATTCAGTGATTTCGCTGGTGCATGGTCTGACTGAGGTGCAGTAAAATTTCATTAGCCCTAAAAATTCTTAAAAATAGTATCTACTCAAAGTCTCCGAATCACAATATGAATTTACGTAGAAATATGGTAACCCTATCTTCTTGACCACCTAGAATAGCTTGTAAAATTTTGTAGACAGTTTCAGATAAATGAAATAGAGTTTCTAGTGACTGTTCTGTTGTTATATATAGCACCAACAATCTGAATTAACGAAAACTGCCCGTAGTTAATATCGCACCTTTATAAGACTGATTAATAAAAATGTGGTTGTTTTCACATCGCTTTTCGTTCACTATTTAAAAATGACATTGATATTTTTCCTCACTGAGTATATTTTGTCGTGTTGTTCTTCTCATTACGCATCAAAACTTCCGCATTTGCTTTGAATGCATTAATTTCAGTTGAATTAATTGCAAGAGTATCGTTTTTCCCAAGGTAATTTATCCTCTGTACGTTTTGCGCACAGATACACAAAGACCAGTGACTTTCTCCTCGTTGTGTATATCCTTCAGTATTATTTGTATACAACAGTATTAAGGTATTTTTTACATCTATTTGAGTCGAATTTTCTTATGATTGCTAGTTACAGAAGCAAACTAACCTATGTCTTTTGTGTTCAGTGTCTATCACTTATAAAGCCTCAAAGGACACTTATTCAAGAGATCATACTCTTTCTGGGTCGATGATGGAATGTAGCATGACAACTGCAATAAGTGGAATCACAATGTGTTAACCTGACTCACAGCGGCTGCATATAAAAAGTGTAACAGACCATTTTCACGTTGGCTGAGCAAGGCATGTTGCTCTTCAAAGCTTCTGCAGATTTTTCAGGCGATTCAGCTGCTAGACATAGCTACTCCCAGAAACAATATCAGGCTTTAAAGAACGGGGCAAAAATTACACAGAAGAGCCACCTCCTAAAAGTCACTTTCGTTCCGGCTGAAGGAATTTAGTGCTGAAAAATTCACACAGACTGACTAAATCTGGAATATATGTCCCTGAGAATCTCAACCTCATTGATTGTATTGGGAGACGATCGATAGAAGTAGAAATAAATGAGCACCGCCGAAACGGTGAAAACCCTTATACATAAGGTCTTTCAAATTGTAGACGTTCGGAACAAAACAATCCTCAAACCACCCTTGGTGGCAATGGAACATTTCATCAGCCTTGGCACAACAAGTACAATGGAACGCTACATGTCGGTAAGAAATAAGTGTATAGCTAAAATTTAGAAGCCCAGAGAAAATATGAGGTGCAGTTGACATAATCTGCAATCAAGCAACCTTAGAGACCATTCTCGTGCATTAACTACAGAACAATGACGCAGCATTGGGTTACCAACCTGAAAAAAAGAAACCGAGTGGACCTGAAATGATGGAGGACGATCAGGAAAGCGCAGAGGCTATGGCAAACTATTTCGAAGTAGTTTTCGCTAATTAGCTTTTTCTAAACAAATAATTAAACCCAAAAGCAAAGTCAAAAAACCACATGCTCACTGTGAACTTCGTTTGAGACAATGCACTCATTGCTTTTAGCAATTTAGACACGGGGAAGTCAATAGGACCGGATTAACTACACCCCGAAAGTTTGGTACTAATTGCATAATGTATTACAGCCCAGTCGACTACGGTATTCAATATGACACTTGTTCAAGATGAATTACTTACAGACTGCAGGGATGCGATAAAACAGGACCAAGAAAACTTCCATCGAACTACAGACCTTTTAGTCTCATCGGTGTCATAGTTGAAATACTGGGGAAAATAGTCAAAGAGACCATAATGACATTTGTGGAAGCCCACTTATCAATAATCAAAAAACATGATTTTGATGGAGTTTGGTTCTCTGAGCTGGACGGTACACCTAATGATAACTAATGCACACTACCGAGTCCACAAATACCAACACGTTATAGAAGACCAAAAGAGGAGGCTACAAATGATATTCATGTTAGGACACTTGAAATTCTTGAAAAAAGCCATCGAGATATCATGCGAACGACACAGAGAACAAAGAAGAAACATTCTAAAAAAGAAACTAATCAAAATTTCAAAACTACCCATGGAAGAGAACAGAAACAACTTCGTGGTGAAATTATCAAAGCAATCACTAACAAACATAGAACACCCAATCTAAAAACATCTAAACAACAATAGAAGTGACGCCTCAAAACTAGAATTCTCCTCAGCACTGGAGTCATCACTCAAGACTTCCGGAATTTGTGAGGAAACGTATCAGAAAATAAGACGATTATAGTACTGTTAACTCGACTGATGAGGGACAAAAACCGATTAAGAACTAGAAAACCATTTAGCTTAGATAACAAAACTTCATCAAAGTCATCCATCCGAGCTACGGATTTTCTCCACCATCTCAGCGAACAACATGGTTTCAGAAAAAGTTTATCTTGTACAACAAATCTCCTGATAGCAAAGGAACAATGGACGGAGGTTCTAGACAATGAAAAATCAGCGTATGTTACCTACATGGACTACGGTAAAGCAATTGATAAGATGCCAACCAATAGACTGCACTCGAAGCTAGAAAATCTAGCATTTTTGGACCTCTGCTAGAAAAGCTTAAGGATTTTCTGTTAGGTCATAAGCGAAAAGTAAGAATAAATTTCAAGTGCTCCACCTAGAGACCAGTGATTAGTAGAGTATCCCAAGACTCTGTCCTAAGTTTTATTCCTTTTATACTACATGTAAATGAACTCTAAAGTATAGTTGAGTCACTGATGCTTCTAAATGCTGATGATGTAAAAATCTGGAGATTTAAATACATTAACATTTCAGGCATCTTTGAACATTCTGATTAGCTGGTCTGAAAAGTAGCTAATGCCTTTCGACGCGGTAAGGTGTGTCTACATGCAGTTTTGGGATACAAAGATAAATAGGTACAGCATAGGAAAAGTGCTTTTACACGTGGTTCGGTCTCTCAAGAATCTCGGAGTGACAATGAGTCATGATCTTTAAACCACGGCTCACTGTGAGGAGTTCGCAGGTAAGAAGTTTGGAATCCTATGCGCTTCGAAACTGACATTCGCCCAGTTCGAAACTACTATGTTCACTACACAACCTTAGTGAGAGCCAAGCTTGTAAAATGCGTTCAGGCTGCAAGTCCCTGTTTCAAAAATGACTTGAATACCATGGTTGAAGTACAGAGGGCAACTACCCATTCCATCGCAAAACCTCGAGGTTGACCATACATAGGCCGGCTTAAAAAGCTGCACCTCTTTACTCTGAGCGATCGCAGATTAAGATGTGATCTGATTTTGATGTATGGAATAGTAAGATGTGATTTCACACAACTTATATCTTCTCTTTTTCTTCTTACTAGATCAGGACATCTCGGAGGACATAGTAGGCAAGTAGAAAAGTCAAGAACGAACAAAACACCAGTGACAGATAGGTATTCGCACCGAGTTATCATTTCTTGGAACTTGTTAATCGAGGGAGTAGGGTAGGCACCTCCAATTGACCCACTCAAGAGTGAACTAGACGCTCACAAAAACATACTGGACAAGGATAACATAGGCTGTAGTCATTCTGTCCTTAGTGCACAAATTCGAAACTGTGAAAATAATTGTGAACTATGTGGATTTCTGCTAGTTCTGAACTACTACTATGCCGAACTCAAAAATTCAAACTGTTCTCGGATGTAAGTGTAATGACTATAAATGAAAACGGTTTTTTGCATTATTCACAAACATTCGATTCAGTTCGTTTAAAATCATAGAATCAAGGTCAGAGTTCATCTGGCAAATTAGAGCGCCTGAGAGAAAACGTTTTAGGTCGCGAAGTAATTGTATGTATATCTTAATAAAAACATGAAATTCAAGGTTGAATACTTGTATAAACTAGTCATATGGCTCGAATTAGTGTTAATGGGATCAAAGCAGTAAGTGATAATGGAAACCAATCTACTAACGATGATGTTACCCCTACAAGCATCTTCCATTGGAAGTGTTACCAAGATTACTTCAGGACATTTCCTGCAATGGTTAAGTTATGCGAACTATTATGTGTCTTCATAGCTTTCATTATCAGTTTGTTGGATAAGAATTTCCTGTTAGTGGGCGGTTCATGGCTGACTGTAACAACTGCGTTATCATTCCTTGTCACTTCATTCTTTCTTGTCTTCCATCTTTTCCTTCTGCATCGTTTTATTACAGCTCCTTGGTGTCTAATAGTGAGTGCCACTAACTACTTATAATTGTATTAGGAACTTGCTGCTTATGTTATCGTATGCATACTTGTGTTTTCAAATGGAGTACTGTCTGCAGCATATTCTCACTTAAGTGGTATTATAATAGCAGAAACGGTAAGACCAAAGCATAAATGTTTTGTACAGTCTGTTTAATACGCATTACATATGTTGATAGTGAGGTTAGTGAATCGGTCCCTTTCTTTGGTTTTAGAAAGTATTCTCGGCGTAGTCGACAAATCTAAAGATCTAGCTGCCTCAATCTTCAGTAATAATAATAAGTTGACTCTATCGCAAAATAAGCCGCTTTCTGCATTAAAAGGCTCAATAATGAAACCGCTCAGAAAGTATGAGGCAGGCATATCTCTGACACTGTCATTCTATATTTGTCTATGCTTAGAAAAAGATCTCCACTCGCTCAGTCAGATAATTTATCCTAGTTTTTTTAAGACCATTGATGTTACTTGGACCACTCGTTCCTTCAAATTTTGAGGTTTAAGAGTATCACAGACTGATTGCGTTTATTTGGTAAGTCATTGAATAGAGTTCAAGGTAAATAAACCCGATAGCTTGACATTTTGATACTCCAATTAACATGGACTCATCCGTAATTATGATAGGGACTGAAGTAGGTTGCAGTTTCCCTACGAAGCAATCTTTTAAGCAATAAAAGACGTACACATTGGTCCCTTTTTTAAGTGGAGTACTTTACTATCTACCCTAATGTGCCCCCCAAATGCCCTGGTACGGCCGAGAGTGGGGAGAGTCACCTCTCCCTCTCGAAATGCTCTCATATGGCCAGCGAATATAGAGCCTCTGCCAGGGAAGTCCTACTCACTGCCTCCTCGTGGCATCACTGTTGTTTACGAAATTGAGAGGATGAAAAGCGAATGTCCGGCGCTTTAACCGGGTTGGTGGACACGAATAGTCCACCTAGGGGAGTTGGAAAACCCTGATTCCAAACCAATGGTGCATATGGGCTCCAGTATCCTGAAGGAACGAATGGCGTATGAACCAATTGTTGGACACCGGCTACCATGGGAATGCATCACCTCACGTTGCTCCACTGCCTTGTGGATCAGACATTCAGGTCAAAGGCTCCGGGTGTGGCCCCCTAAGAAAACCACCTGCTTCAGTCTGGGCATCTGGACAGTATCACAGCCCTCACACAAATCGAATGAGATTTTTATGGCGCATATGTGTCTGGTGCTTCCTTGTACCAATATTTATGTGTTTAAATAAATAATGTCTTCGAGAAGTCTGGTAGTCCTGAATTCTTGACTCATGTTAGACTGGTAATATCCAATTTTTCGATGTCACTAGTTTAGTAATACAAGATTTATTTGTTCTTTTTCAGATTTTTATCTTCATGGCCCTCGCTATTTATACAGTCGATAGTTTAGTTGCCTTCAAAATTTTTACAGCTGGGCGCTATTACGATTGAATTGTACCATTTCATGATTAACTAATTGTTTGCTTGTAATTTTAGACAGTCCTTGATGCAATTCTTTAGATGTCCTTGTTCGCTAACTTACCACTTTCTTCAAATAAACAAATTTCCAGATTTCAAATTAGGATGTGAAATACATGGAACCCGACTTCTATGTCCTTGAATTATTTCTACCACGTAATTGCAAAATAGATCTGATCCTGTTTGACATCCGTAGGATGAGAAGTACATGTTATGTAATTGTTTTCAGGTTTTTAAGAGCATAACGGATACAAACAGATGCGAAATACTCAGACCTCACAGCATAATTAAGTGTGGTTAACATTACCTTCAGTTTGCTCTCAAAAGCAATTCTGGCTGCTTCAAATATTTTATTTCGATTGCGCAACAGTACTGACTACACCAAAACCAGGGTTGTCATAAATTATTAGGGTTAGTTTTCAATGGTAAAAGAAATAAGCGATGCCTCAGGCATAATAAGATCAGGCAAGAAACCTACACACCAACTTACATGGAGGTTTTGTTCTATGTTTGCCTTAACTAAGTTAACGTCTCTTTAAGCTTGTCAACACAATATTTAGATTAGTACTGTCACTAAGGGAACGATATCGCAAAAGATTTCCCAAACGCACCTAACAAAAGATAAATACTTTTTCTGTTTTGCCGTTTTACTGGTTTACTTGGGACTAGCTTGATAAGATATAACATAAAACGAAGCATTTAATGACTCCTATATAGTGGCATAACTACTACCAAACAAACTTCAATTTGAATTCGGTGGTAGCTTTCATATATATAAGCACAATACAGAGATATTTTATCTATATAACATCCAAATGAAAATCGGTATAACGTGTATAATTATGACAAAGCAAACTGAGTACAACAAAATCTCACCATCATATATCGAAAATCCACGGGACCAGAATTGGAATTCGTAGTCCGAAACAATTTAAAAGCGCTTCCTAAAGATGAACAGGTATGAACATGAATATCACCTCATCACAATTGAAAATCCTGTGTGTATTTCCAGATTGCGACACTACGGATCATCGTTGAACAATCAGTTGAGTGGAACTCATCACTATACGTCAACTTCATTGACTATGAGAAGGCGTTTGACAGCGTGGACAGGAGAACATTATGGAAACTTCTTCGACACTATGGAGTTCCTGAAAAGATTGTCAACATTATCCAAAACTCATACGATGGACTACAGTGCAAAGTCATGCATGGAGGACAGCTGACAGATGCATTTCCAGTAAGAACCGGAGTCAGACAAGGCTGTCTACTCTCCCCATTTCTCTTCCTTCTAGTGATTGACTGGATTATGAAGAATTCGACATCTGACGGGAAATACGGAATACAATGGACAGCTCAGAATCAATTAGATGATTTGGACTTCGCAGATGACCTAGCCCTCCTCCCTCATACACACGAACAAATGCAGATGAAGACAGCAAATGTAGCAGCAGCCTCCGCATCGATAGGCCTCCACATTCACAAAGGAAAAAGCAAGATCCCCAAATGCAACACGGAAAACACCAACCCAATCACACTTGATGGCGAAACTCTGGAATAGGTGGAAACATTGACGTACCTGGGGAGCATCGTTGATAAACAAGGAGGATTGGATGCAGATGTAAAGGCGAGGATTGGCAAAGCAAGGGCAGCATTTTTACAATTGAAGAACATATGGAACTCAAAACAACTCTCAACCAATTTCAAGGTCAGAATCTTTAATACGAACGTCAAAACAGTCCTACTGTATGGTGCTGAAACGTGGAGAACTACTACGACCATCATCAGGAAGGTACAAGTATTTATAAATAGTTGTCTACGCAAAATACTCAACATCCATTGGCCGGATACTATCAGCAACAGCGTTTTATGGGAGAGGACAAACCAGCTTCCAGTTGAAGAGGAAATAAGAAAAAAAGTTGGAAGTGGATCGGACATACATTAAAGAAATCACTAATGTGCATCACGACTCAATCCCTAACTTGGAATCCTGAAGGGAAGCGGAAAAGAGGAAGGCTAATGATCACACTACGCCGGGAAATAGAAGCCAATGTGAAAAGGATGAATAGCAACTGGAAAGGAAGGCTCAGGACAGAGTTGGGTGGAGAATACTGGTGAGCGACCTATGCTCCTCGACGAGGGGTAACAGGCGTAAGTAAGTAAGTAATCTTTTGTTATCCGGAGCCGTTTGTGTTCATGTTCGAGATTTCAGAAACTAAGTTGCTGACCCTATGTGCTAGTCCAGAACGGGTTACAATTAAACGTGCAACCGTACCATTTCTAAATAACTATTATTTTCGTATCTGCACACCTTATTGCTATCACGTTTTTGTAATTTATGATAGTACATTCAAAATATGTTGTGCCTCAAAGCCGATTCCACACGTTTCAAATAATAGACACATCAAAATGTGCAAATTTTATGAATTGGGAATAAGTGTTTAGCCTTTATTTACTACGTTCGTTTTCATAAACACACAACATGCTCAAAATCGAACATAATATGTAAGAAACCACTCCTTCCTGGTTGAAAGCTTTCGCTCCTTATGTCTGCGCAGTTAATATTATAAACTAGTCACTTGCTGAAGCCTTTCCTAGAACTGCAAATCCGTGTGAATATACCACCTTGAATACAGTGTTACTTATCTCTTTGAATAAATGTAAAATTATGGTTAGGAAGTCGATGGAAAAGTACACTGGTGGACTTATGACTCGGTATTTCTAAATGAAGATATTGATCTCGTCAAAATTTGATTTTGGAAATTTTAGCTTGGAGATTTATCCCCATACTCAGCATTTCCGTCGTCTCGATTTGCTTTAGAGTTGAGTGGGGGATAAAGTTTACAGTTTAGATCTACAGTGATGAGTGAACAAGATTTCTGATCGTTTCCATCTATTGGTTAACTCTGACAGGATTCTGAAATGAACTGAGACTCAATACAAGATTTAGAATAGAAACTAATGGCCTCAGTTTGTTTTCCCTTTCAACCTAAACAGTTTTAGGAAAAGGAGACCAAAGCCTTTAATTTGCACTTTATATAATCGCTTTTTACATTATTTGTATTTTCGTAACTTTTTACCGCTTTTTGGTGAACATACTGTGACGCTAGTACTGTAGTAAGTTTGTGTTTAGGTAAGAAGTAATACAAGTAATGTGTGAATATTTCAAACTACGAAGAATCAAAGTACGTTGGATTGGTAAAAATAATAATTCTAAATAAGTGTGAAAAATTCTGTCAAAACTTTATTAAGTTTAGTATGGGTTACTTTTACTGACCAGTCACTATGCAAAGGTATGTAGCGTTTATACATCAAGGAGTTTAGGAATTTCTGTTTACCCGCAATTCATGAATTTTACATTCTCAGGAACAGCCTTTAAGGACCTGGTATCTTGATCACTGTACATAGGTAAGTTGACAAAGCATTTTCTTGACAGGTATATAGAAAAAACCCACACAGTACTAAACGACACATTTCTTAATGCTGGGAGTTTAATAAAAATACATGTTTTGACAAAACTAGGTATTTCACATAGAAATTAAAAATAATAAATTATGAACTAAAAATGTAAGATTATTAGGACGTTCATTATGTAATCCTAATATATTTAGAAAACCACATTTACCATACGGTGTAGTAGAGATTGGCGCTTGAGTGTTTCAAAAGGCATTTATAACATGTGGCTTATTTTAAACAGTTCAGCAGTTGGGAAATATTATCCACATACTTGTAATGTGATTAGGTAAGTTAAAAATCGATCCAAATAATGAAACGAAAAATTATACGAAATCAGATGTTGGGTGTGATGTTGATCTTGAGACGAAAAATTGTTCTGCAGAGCTGTGATGCTGTTTTAAATAGCTGGTCAATAAGAAAATAGTTTTGCAATGCGTTTGCACTAGAGTTACAAATTTACTGTCACGAGAAATCAAGATACATCCAGTTAATTAAAAACACTGCTATTGTAGGGGTAAAGAACCCGAAAAGTTGGACTGATCCCTTGGTTAATTTTCTTAGCTTTCACCAACTGAACAAAACAAGAGGCAATAAACCTAGAAGACAACCAATAGTAATGCCAACGATCCGTCCCTAAAAAATAAAGGAACACATTTTATGAATGCTGATAATCAGCCTCAATTTCAATTACAAATACCTAAAGCTCAAACTAATTTGAAGTATTTCGCTACCACAAGATTATTTATTGTAATGTTGAAAATTTAGCACGTCCGTTGCAGTAATAACACATGTTAACAGTCTAAAGAAGACAAATTGTCCATCAAAAGAAAAAGATACTACACTTTATGAGAAACTTAGATCGATAATACAATCAGAAAGCACTGGTTTAACCAAGTTTTACCGTTTGTGGGGTCTAAAACCTGATTACCATATAAATTCATACACAAAGTATGAGCAGGAAGTAGTGTGCACTGAACTATATCCTTATGACACATGCACAGTTGGTGGAAATTAACAAGATGTATAGAGGAGTAAAAGTAGTATTGGTGTCTATGACATGTTTCAAAAAAAATCTGAAAAATAAGAAGTATCCAATAATGTTAAATTCCAAGATCTAGAAGACGGGAAATGGATGCATCCAACTCATTGTAATCGATTTTAACCTTTGAAGCCAAGATATGTCATTGACATGGGATTTAGTTGTTGTTATTTAACTCACCTATCTATATTAAGAAACCTTCATGTACGTAGAACCTTATGTATAGTGTTCTTAAGATTCGATGTGGATTGAATTTCACAATAATTCGGAGAAGCAACGCAGACTAATGGCACACGGCTTCAATAATTTTGCATTCACAACCCTATAGATTTACTTGGTTAGGTAGGATACCTTGCAATAAAACAACCTAGTTGTCACTAGATTTTGTGTACGGTTTGTGGACACGCTATGGGCTTTTTCACTAAAAATTACCTGAGAGTTGATAAAGAATAAAGTCTTCGGATAATTATTGTTCTCACAAATACATTTGTTGATGAGTAGTCATTTTTTATGAATCATTATATGGACCTGTAAATGACAGATATAGCGATCTGCCTGACAGTATATCGAACCCAGTATTTGTAATAAATTCAAGTTTACAAATAAATAAAGAGGGTCACAATAATTCATTCCTAAAAACGATGGCTGCTAAAGATATTTTACCGAAAGTTCTACAGCTACGTTGTTCTTAATCTAGAACTGATCATAGAAATTTCAAAAACTTGCATTGTCTAGTCATCATGCGTAATAAAATTTTTATAAGTCCCAACAATTACCACATATTATTCATAAAATGACTTTTTCGACCAGCTTTCCATGAAGCAATTGAAAAACGAAATTTCCTGTTTACAGCTTTTGTCGTTTTTCTATTAAGCTTAAAATTCCATACCAATTTGACCATTCTCCTCACTGAGGTGAAGTACATAATGTAAGATTACCCGACCAACAGATTCATTGCAAAACATCCCAGAGTGTACGTCCTTAAGAATTTTAACACTGAGTCAACTGTTGCCATGACGAAGGGACCATGGAAACTTAATTCAATCCAGTTTTTTGAGAACAGGAACTCGTCTTTTAGCTGATAGTCCAGAAATAAATAAACCCTTACAGAATTCTTTGGTTTAAGCTACATTCCAGAGAAAACCTATGAGTACTACAAGAAGAAAGTTCTTGGCTTTTCTTAGTAATCTTGGATAAATAGCCCATATCATATACCTATAGTCAAAATTGTTAAAACGATCGATTTACCATATTTGATAGAAAAATGAATGACGAAAATTGATGGATTATGTGTTTATAACGTGTGAATTAAAGGTGTCGAAGTTACATAATAAATTCGTATTCTTTACGGTTGCAAAGAGTACCACACTTTTGTGACCGGTGATTTACAAATGGATAAAAGGTGGAGTAAGAAAGTATCACAAAACACGCATCATCAAATGTGGCAGATATGATGATAACCATGAGTCTGGGCGGGAGTTACTGTTGAACTTATTTCTGGATTCCCTGATATTTTATGCAAACAACGAACAATAAATGCAACCTAGCGACCAAATAAACATTAGGGATTGGGGGTAAACTGGTTTGAAAAGGTTAGTAATAATACCCAGTAGTTAAGAAAAAAGTATGGTGAGGCGTGAGCCTGAAACTCAATAGTTGAAGGTGCAGTGTTTTAAACACTGCAGTATAAGTTTGCACCCGACACACGTATTGATTTTAACTAACATGTATTTATTAACAAGCTTGAAAACAACACTTGAAAAACATGATGTACGTGAATGCTGTAATTAAAACTAAAACTAACTTACTATTCCTATAGACCAACGAACTGAACTGCTGGCTAGTTGGGATGCAGACAATGGGGGAACGGAAATACCAATTTTTTCCATGAACTTTTCAACGTAGCCGACAAGCCTGTTATAATAGTGGAGACATTTTCCTCTTTTATTTGAATGTTATTGGAGTAAACAGGTCTAAAGTAGACTCACACGTAATAAAATAAGTTTATACATGTCTGGTGTTTTGTTATTACATCTAGAAGGGTAAAGGCTGTGTTGATATTTGGAGAGGACTAAAATACACTCACACTGGAAGTATGCTACGTAAGCAAATTATGGTAAAAGCCCCATAAATTATAAATACTTAGTTTAGATATTCAGCTGAAATGTTCACAAATAGTATTATCCTCTGAATTTTAGCTGTGAATAATTTAGTGAGAACACGTATTTATCTACTATATAATATGTTGGAAAGTTATTTCTGATATTCAACAGACGATTTAAAATTTGCTCTATAAATAGGCTCTTGGAATCACCTATCACAAACCATTTATGTTTACAGGGTTGGAATTAACCACCACATTTAGGTTCAAATAGTTCATTCGATTGGTGAAACTTAATTGACACAGCTGACTCATGTGAAAAAGTCAGAACTTTTTAGATTCATAAGCACCTTTCCTTTAATTATAATTCCAAGAAAACCTTAAGATGCGTTAGTAACTAGACGCATTAGTTGACGGCCAGCAATTTTAGCACCAAGATTTTATATTTCTTGTAAATTGATATAATGACAAGTACCCTAAGACATTGTACAATACATAGGTGTGATGATACTATTTTAGTGATACATTTTTAAGTGCAGATAGATGGATTAAAAATGTCTAGAAACCATAAAAATGCTTAAGTTAACAAGCAACTTTGAAATCAAACTCATTATTTTTCTAGACATAGTTTTTCAGTAACAACTTGAGAATTGCAAAACCCACAAAATACATCATCCGTGAAAAGAAATTCGGTGGCTTTAGGAGCAGAAATGCTCAAGACCATAGATATTGGTTTCTTACTTAAATTCAGCAACATACCTGTTTCCTCGAATTACCCGAGCTACCTCCAACCTAAATAACTGACACCATTTAAATGCGAAACGTAGGGACGGATTACAGCCGTCCGTAAATTGAGTTGAGAAAATACAATGGACTGTATCTCCAGCCAAACAAAAAAGTAACACAGTAAACTCATTCCAATAATTTTAAACAACTCAAATTAGTTTCAATCGACGTTTCACTGAATTACCTTGATTTCTTTAGCTTCAGTGCTCACAGCCAGACTTTTACTGACTAAAATAAAGGGGTATTTTTACTGGTTTAGAGGGTGAAAAGTCAAATTTTTCAATTATTAAGGAACTGATTTAAGAGTTAAATGAACCCAGATACTGGATGCATGCTGAGAGGTGAGTTCAGGGGCGTATCCTGATCACTTGTGATCACAAACTCACCCTATGCCAAAAAGATCAGAAACAAGATTTCCTAGACCGGCAGCTAAAAACATGAAAATTATCAGAAATGTAGGTACCAGCCATTGTCGAAATGCCCAAGAATGTTGCGAATTGCACATCAATATACTCCCCCTATGCCAAGACAACGATTAGAAGTGAAAGCTTTTAAATTTCACTTACAGCCACTATCATAATTGCATTATCCAGGAAACCAAATCCTATGAAAGGGAGACAGTTACCTATAAAAACTAAAATACGATACATATTATGTTCTTTCGCGTAGACTCACCACACTTGAGCTGCGCATATGTCAAATGAGTTACCTGAACTTGTTGTGTACTCACTGAGGATTCCGGCTTTTCCTTGATGCATTTGGATAATTCTTGATACATGAGCATTTTGTCACTTGGTGACAATTTACTAATAATTCTGCTAATCGATAGGTTTTCGGACCGTCGATTGAAACTTCCACATAACGGAGAACACTGAACAAAGAGGCTTCTATTTACATAGGTCAAAACCCTTCTTCCAGGACAGACCAAGCTTCTGAACCCAAACATGTACCGCACCTACCAATTTCTAGACATCGTTGTTCAACAAACAATATCTAATGTCTAAAGGGCGAGCTTTATAAACCTTTTTTTATGTTTTGTGACCTAAGTGAGTACTTTGTCTCAGGACACTAGGCTTTTGTATACCATATCTATCACAACATCAGGAAAGAGGTCGTTCGGTTGCAATGTAAACAGTAATGGGGAGAAAATTCGAGTGCTAAGAAAAACGGTTGTTTCAACGACTGAATGATTAGCTAATTTAATTAACCAATAATGCAGTCAATGTGAGAAGACCGAAGTGCAAAAATAAAAAGAGAGACAAATATGACATTTAGCGAGATAGGAATAATCCTGTGATATATACTGATGCTAACAGTGGATAAATTATGAAACATGCATCAGGTAAAACTAGTCAGATTTAGAGATGTTTGTATGGCCTGTGAATTGTCACTGGAGCCTAACCAAATCATCCGGCAGTCGACTAACTGAATGTCGAACAGTTCACCAGTCCTCGTTAAGGTCAATGACAACCAACGAGAATCAGTTAATCCCACGCCACGGACTGGCCCATGTAGTTGTGGTCGTACTGTCTTACTAATATATTTCACCAATAGCTTCCTTTGTGTTATACAGTCTTCAAAGAAGTCACAGTACCCTGAAACGACAAGAGTAATCCACGTTAGATGCTGCCCAAGGGGTGCGACTTCGAAGTTGTCTGATTCGTCACATCATTCCCGTCTAACTCCAGTAGACACCCAATCATTACAAGCAGATCATCTGTTTTAGTGATCTAAATGTAAATCAATGTGCGAGTATGGGTTTCTCAAGTCACACCTCGAATCTTCACACTGAGGAAACTGTGGTCACTTTGAGTAGGAAGAGATTCTCAATAAGAGCATTGTAGCTGTAAATAATTCCCCAAAATCAATAGCTCATTAAGTGTTCGACATTGGATGCTGACCACGTTGTTTAAGTGGACTTGTTTAGCTGAAGGCTTTCGGTCATGCATCCGCACCAGATCACGTTTCAATACTGCGTGGGACACAGCTCCTACGTTTCATTAGCCAGCTCATAGAAAAGGTCCTCGATATATTGGTAACGAATCAAATATATCTTTCCTGCCTATTCTCGTCCGACTTCTGATTTCTATCTGACTGGGAACGATCAAATTTAGAAGGTGCTACTGGTATCTAGTTGTAAAACTAGAATATCCGTTGCATCATCATTGGTGAACCCGACGTGATCTAGTACACCAAGTCAATATACTGTGAGTCTGTTCCATTTTGGAATATTATTATTTATTGTTATTCTTTATTTGAATTTTATATATTGTGATATACCTTTTTTTTTTCTCGGATATATTTTACTTAGACATTTTTCGATATCTATATTACTATGACGGAACACTCTCCTAAGGTTCTTAAGTTCAAGTCTATTCCCCCTATTTCGATTCAGTTAACGCCATTTTGGCCCGACAATATCGAGTCCTGGTTCTGCTATGCAGAAGCCGATTTTTGCATGCACGGAATCACGGACTCGCGCACACGTTTCCTCGCGGTAGTTAAGGCGTTACCGCGCGAGTTTAACAGGTACGTAACACCTAGTATGTTTACTAGTGATGTTTCCGAACCTTACGAATCGCTTAAGCTATCGATTCTAAAACGAGGAGACCTAACTGATCGACAACGGTTAGACCAACTCCTTAACAATATCGACTTGCAACATGGTTCTGCGACGGACATGTTGCTTAGAATGAGAGAAGTCATCGGCCAACGAACTTTCGATGATGGCCTATTTAGACAACTTTTCTTGTCTAAACTCGCTCAACAGGTGCAGGCAGTGCTTGTTTCATTTCAAAACAATGCCATAGATGAACTAGCTGCATCTGCCGATCGAATCTTGGAAATCACTAGATCTTCTAAGGCCGAGGTTTTTTCCGTCAAAGAAAAACCCCAATCGACCTCGACTGACATGGCCGAACTATGTCACACGCTTACACGATATCTTAGAGTTCGCAATGACCGTAGTCGGTCAAAAACCCCGCGTAGAAGCGCCTCACGTAAGCTATCTGGCTCTCGACCACGAGAGACAGACAATCCCGACTGGTGCTGGTATCATAACCAGTACGGTAAGTTTTCCAGAAACTGCAGGAAACCTTGCAATTATCCGACCCCAAAATCGAGTGACACGAAAAACAGTTCGGGAAACTTCCCAGCCGGCACGCGTTAACGGCAACCGTAGCCGGCGAACACAGCCGCCTCTTATATGTCACTGATGTGACCACGAGAGTTCGCTACCTCGTCGACACTGGCGCAGAAGTTAGCGTTCTTCCAGCAAATCTCGACGACAGACTTCGCGAGTCTGTTTTAAGTTTACAGGCGGCAAACGGAAAGCCGATCGCTACTTACGGTAAAAGGTACGTCTACCTTAACGTGGGTTTACGTAAACCCATACACTGGATTTTCGTGGTTGCAGATGTCTCTATGCCAATCATTGGTATTGACCTGTTACAACACCACAATCTACTCATCGACACACGCGCACGAAGGTTAATAGACGGAAACACTAAGTTGTCCGTTTGCGTAACTCCTTGTTCTGGTTGCAGGTTATCCCCAGTCACGATTAAGCACGCCATAGACCCCTTGTACCAAGCAGTACTCGACAAATACCCCGGGATATACCAATCGCAATCGAAATTACCTTGTGTAACCAGCAATGTTACACATCACATCTCGACTACAGGACCACCTGTATTTTCGAAAGCCCGAAGACTCGCTCCCGAAAAACTTAGGTTGGCTAAAAACGAATTCAACCACATGATGGACCTAGGAATAATTCGACCATCGAATAGTCCATGGGCATCCCCATTGCACATGGTCCCTAAAAAGGACAGCAATGATTGGCGGCCAACTGGTGATTATCGGCGTCTGAATGCTAAAACCATTCCCGATCGTTACCCGCTGCCTCATATTCACGATTTGACAGCTACCTTGAAAGGTACAACTGTCTTTTCGAAAATCGACTTGGTTAAAGCTTATAACCAAATCCCGATGGCAACTGACGACATTCCTAAAACCGCCATCATCACTCCCTTCGGTCTTTACGAATTTCTACGAATGCCCTTTGGTTTAAGAAACGCGGCTCAAACCTTCCAAAGGTTTATAGACGACGTCTTCCGAGGTCTCAACTTCGTACATGCGTATGTTGATGACTGTCTAATAACAAGTCCGGACAGAGAATCGCATCTCAAGCATCTGGACATTGTTTTCGATCGACTTCAACGGCATGGCATTACTGTCAACATTCAGAAATGCCAAATCGGAACTAACTGCTTAGACTTCTTAGGACACACCGTTGATGCCAAAGGCATCCGACCCCTTAGGAGCAAAGTGGCGGCCATTCTGGATTACCCAGAACCGACCACGATCAAGCACTTACGAACTTTTAACGGACTCGTAAGTTTCTATAGACGGTTCATACCTAAATGCGCATCCCTAATGAAACCGTTGGCCGATCAGCTTCGTGGAAATGCGAAATCAATTAGTTTAGACGACACAGCCCGTAAAGCATTTTCCACAGTTAAGGAACACATCGTTAAAGCAACCTTGCTTGCTCATCAGGACAGTCAAGCGCCCATTAGTATTGCCGTAGACGCATCCGACTCAGCAATCGGAGCAGTCTTACAACAATGGGTTAACAACTCGTGGCAACCTTTAGGATTTTTCTCGAGACGGTTGCTAGACGCTGAATCTAGGTACAGCACGTTCGGTAGGGAACTCCTAGCTATGTATTGTGCTGTACGGCATTTTCAACATTCCATCGAAGGAAGAGAATTCACGCTCTTTACCGATCACAAACCTCTTACCTTCTCTTTAAGTTCATCTTCAGACAAGTACTCACCGCGAGAGTCTCGACAACTCGACTACATTTCGCAGTTTACTTCAGACATACAACACATTTCTGGAGCAAACAATGTAGTCGCAGACGCCTTGTCTCGAATTAGCTCCTTGAACAGTTTCCAAGGAATCGACCTTCTTAAACTCTCTCATCTTCAACTAGAAGACATTGATCTTCAGCATGAGTTATCCTCGACAACTCTTAAACTAAGTATTAGGCAGATGGGAACAGGTAAGGAAACCTTACTCTGTGACACATCTACAGGTAGGGATCGTCCAATTGTACCAAAACACTATCGCCGCAACGTCTTCAATACGTTGCACAATCTTTCTCATCCAGGTGCTCGTGCAACAATCGAACTTATAGCCGAACGCTTTTGTTGGCCTGGCATGAATAAAGACGTGAGGGAGTGGTCACGCTCCTGTGTAAGCTGTCAGAAATCTAAGGTAATCAGACACAACAAATGTCCCCTAGGTTCTTTCAAAACCCCTGACGCTCGTTTCGACCACGTCCATCTAGATTTGGTAGGACCCTTACCCGACTCGAACGGATTCTCATATCTCCTAACATGCGTAGACCGTTTTACTCGATGGCCAGAAGCAGTACCGATTAAGGACATTACTGCTGAAACAGTGGCTCGCACTTTCGTCGAACGATGGGTAGCAAATTTCGGCTGCCCTTCAACCATCACTACAGACCGCGGACGCCAGTTCGAATCTGGACTTTTCCGTTGTCTGACCACACTATTAGGAATCACGCGCTTCCGAACGACCGCCTACCACCCACAAGCAAACGGGTTGGTAGAACGTTTTCATCGACAATTAAAAGCTTCATTATCAGCTTCAAACGTTTCACAGTGGACAGACGCTCTTCCACTCGTCTTGCTAGGTATCCGCAATGCAGTGAAAGCTGACATTGGATACACGGCATCTCAACTCGTTTACGGAACGACACTCCGACTCCCGGGAGAATTCGTGGATCCTTCAGCTTCTTCATTGAACATGGATCTAAACTCTTACACGAGTAGGCTTACAAACGCTATGCGTTCAGTTAAACCTGCTCACACTCGACCTCAATCAACTGATGTTTTCGTTCAACCCGAATTACGA